AGCCTGCTTCTCCCTCTCCCACTCCCCCTGCTTGTGTTCCCTCTCTCGCTGTGTCTCTCTCTGTCAAATAAATAAATAAAATCTTTTTAAAAAAATAGCATCTCCCAGAAAGATTTGCACTCACTGGGACACATTATTCCATTGACATACACATACTGCTTTTCAGATTAAAGAAAAAACAAAAACAGAAAATCTTGGGGGAACCCAGGCACCAAAGGGAAGGCAGTGGAGCCCTAACCAGGATTAGTTACTAGACATCTGGCCTGGCTGTCACATCTGCCTCTGTGGTGGGGGGCGGAGATTGTGGCAGGAAGTCTGTCACTTAGGATGGAGAGTTGGGGGGTGGGGCGCCTGCCAGGAGAGGGGGGCCTGGTGGGCCAGGAATGGAGTCCCTGGGCACAGCGCTGGTCCTCCTGGTGCAGTTCTGGGGTGAGTACTTGGGCCCCCCTCCCCTCTGCCCTCCCTCCTGTTGTCCATCACCCCAGCAGCCTGCCCCCTGGCTCCCAGCCCCTGGAACCCAATCTCTGTGCTCTGCTAATTAGGGTCTGTTTCTCTCTGATACTCAGAACCTTACAAGGCTTGAAGGGTTCTAGCAGGATCCTCAGAGTGGGTCCCTAGAGTAAAACTCACACCACGACCTATACACCAGGCTTGCCTGAGCTAGCTCCGCTGGCCTCTGTCATCTCCACCCTCCACAGCTTTCCCTTTCTCATCCTTGTCCAGCCTGCTGGCTTTTTTCTTTTTCTTTCTTTCTTTCTTTCTTTCTTTCTTTCTTTCTTTCTTTCTTTATTTTTCTTTCCTTCTTTCTTTCTCCCTTTTCTTTCTTTCTTTCTTTCTTTCTCCCTTTTCTTTCTTTCTTTCTTTCTTTTTCTTTCTTCCTTCCTTCCTACTTTGCTTCCTTCCTCCTTCCTTCCTCCTTTGCTTCCTTCCTTCCTTCCTTTCTTTCCTTTTTTTCCCAACACACCAAGCTCGATCCCACCTCCGGGGCCCTTGCACCTGCTCTTCCATCCGCCTGAATCTCATCTCTCTAGCATCCGCTGCGATTGCATATCAAAGGCCAGGAACTTGAGCTAAACATACCCCTTCTGGGGGATCTGATAGGCACCTCAGACATCTCAGGGGCCCAAAGCAAACTTTTCTTCTACTCCAGCCTTGCTCCTCTGTCAGGATCCTCCATATTGGCCCAAAGCCACCGCCCTTCACACAGTCCCTGAGGCTAAAACCTTGGGAATCTGCTACCGTCCTTCTTTCCTTTTCTCAATCCATTCGGCTGCTGATCGCTATTTTCCAGGGTCCAGCCCCCGTTACTATGCTCGTGGACCCTCATCCCCCAGCCACCCCGAACCCCTCTCCCACCCCCACAGTCTGTTCTTAACACAGCACAGGGTGATCTTCTTAAAACTTTAAATTGGGGGGTGCCTGGGTGGCTCAGTTGGTTGAGCATTGACTCCTGATTTCAGCTCAGGGCATGATCTCATAGGGTCGTGACATCCTGAGATCGGGCTCTGTGCTCAGTGTGGGGGTGGGGTTCTGCTTGAAATTCTCTCTCTCTCTACCCCTCCCCCTGCTTGCATGCTCTCTCTCTCTCTCTCAAATAAATAAAATAAATTAAAAAAAAAAAACTTAAATTGGACCATGTTTTCCCCTGCTCCCCTGGTTTCCTATCACACTTAGATTAAAAAGCAAACTGCTCCCTTTTCCCCACCTCCACCCTGTGGCCTGCAAAGCCTTGTATAAGCCATCTTCTCTCCAATTCCACTTCCTCCCTTTCTCCCCCTCAGTCACTCTGCTCCAGCCACAAGGGCCTCCTTGCTCTTTTTCCAACATACCAGGCATGGTTGTGCCCAGGGCCTTTGCATGGCCTGCTCCCTCTGCCTGGAGTGCTCTTCCTCCATTTTCCTTTCTTCTCACCACTGGCTACTTCTTACCATTTCATCACCTCCTCTGAGAAGCCTTCCCTGACCACCCTCCATAAGTAGATTTTCTCTCATCTCATCCTCCATCAGGATTCTCACTTCTTGACGTCCCATGTCTCTCTCTCTCTCTCTCTCTCCTCCCAGACTGTCAGCTCCAGAGTGGGGCAGGAATTTCTGTCTGTCTCCATCACGTCTGTCTGTGTCCGTGGTGTCCAGAACAGGGCTTGGCACACACAAGGCGATATTTGTGTCCCGAGAGCTGGACTGGTCATAGAGTCCTCCCTGAAATCTCCCAAGTGCCGAAAGAAAGTTAAACCCATTTCACAAATGAAGACTTTGAGGGGCTCCTGGGTGGCTCAGATGGTTGGGCATCTGCCTTCAGCTTAGTCATGGTCTCAGGGTCCTGGGATCGAGCTCTGCTCATCAGGGAGCCTGCTTCTCCCTCTGTCTGCTGCTCCCCCTGCTTGTGCTTTCTCACCCTCTCTGTCAAATAAATAGATAAAATCTTAAAAAAAAAAAAAAAAGACTTTGAGCCTCAGTGAGACGTGATCTTGCAAAGATCATGTAGCCTCAGTCCTGTGGGCTCAGTGGGGGAGTAAGTCACACACACACACACACACACACACACACACACACACACCAGCCTTACTCACTTCTTGTATCCCCTCGTCCTGCAAGGAGCCACAGGCCTGAGAGTGCAGCAGGAGCCCAAGTGGTTGCGGGTGACACGGGGAAGCCAGGTGACCTTGGCCTGCCAGGTGATACAGTCCCAAGCCTGGGAGCGGCTCCGGGTTGGGTGGACCAAGGACGACGTCTCCTTGTGTGAGCCGCACATCACCAACGGCAGCCTCAGCCTGGGGGTCTGCGGGCCCCGGAGGCTGCTTTCCTGGAAGGCGCCTGGCAACCTCACCCTGCAGCTGGACCACGTGAGCCTCAACGACAGTGGGGACTACGTGTGCTGGGTGGCCGTGGAGATTCCTAAGTTGGAGGTGAAGCAGGGCAATGGCACGCAGCTCCTGGTGGAGAAAGGTATGGGAGCAAGAGGAGGGAAGAAGTGGGCTCTTGGAACTTATAGGATCTCAAAACTCTAGAATCTCAAATTCCTTCCTAGGAACATAAACTCTAAATTCTTCCAATGGGAGTCTTAGAAACAGAGATCCTGCAAAGTCAGGAACATCAAAATCTAGACTTGCAGAACCAAAGACATGCTGGAACTTATAATTCTAGATGAGGACTCAGCAAACATTCTGTAAAGGCCCACAGAGTAAATATTTTCTAATTTGTGTTCTACTTTGCAACGACTCCACTCTGCCATTATAGTGTGAAATCCTCCATAGACTGGACAGGCGTGAATGGGTGGGGCTAGGTTCCAATAAAACTTTATTTAAAAAAACAGGTAGTGGGCCTAATTGGATCCACAGGCTAAAGTTTGCTGAGACTTCTTCCTAAATACTACAATCATGAAGACTCTTGAATACATGTAATTCTGGAATTTTGACTAAACACAATCCCAGAATCTTTTTTTAAAAAATGTATTATTAAAGTATCTCCGACATACAGAAAAAAACGCATATTGTAAGTGGCCGGCTTAGTGGATGCTTTCGTCCATTTGGGCTGCTATAACAAAATACTGCAGACTGGGGTGGTTTGTAGACAGCAGAAACTTATTTCTCATAGTTCCGGAGGCTGGAAGTCCAAGGTCAGGGCCCCAGCATGGTCGTGTTCTGGTGAGGATCCTCACCCTGCTTGGTAGTTGGCACCCTTCACTTGGAGGAAGAGGCAGTGATGTCTCTTTTATAAGAACACATATCCCATTCGTGAGGGCTCAGGACCTAATCACCTTCTGAGGTCCCACCTCCTCCTTCCATCACCTCCAGGGGTTAGGACTCCATGTAGGAATTGCAGGGGTCACATTCAGACCACAGCCTGAGCCCACCCCTTGTACCACCACGCAGCTCAAGAAACAAGACTTCCTGCCTCCCGGATCCCTTCCCCCCACCCATGCACACATGCATCATCCTGACTTCTGGCTGCATAGACTTATTTGGCCTGGCTTTGTGTGCTACTTAAGGGAAATCATAGAGTGCATTCTCTTCTGTGCCTGGCTTTTTTCATTCAACATTGAATCCCCCACTCGGCCAGAAGGTACGTCCATCTTGGTCATGCAGCAGCGGGATGCTCTTTCTCTTTGCTGTAGACCCACCACCATCCATCAATCCAATTTCCTATGGATGGGCATTTCAGCAGCTCCTAGTTGTTGGCAATCACGAATACGGGTGCTGTGAACAAATTACAACTGGTCTTTGGCCAACACATTTCTGTTGTGCCTCAGGCAATTCTAGGATCTCGAACCACAAAACAGAATCTTGCAGTTCTAGAATCCTAGAGGCATAGAAGTCTAGGCTCTTAGAACTACAGCATTCTCAATGGGGAATCTTGCTCCTAAGGAGGCAAGAATTGGTTCTTGGGGAGCAACAAAGATTTTATTTTTTTATGTATAAAGCATAGATGTATGGAGAGTACATAGAGTCACACTGTATCTGTGGTACTAAAATGTCATGGGGAAACAAAGTAAGATTTTAAAAGTCTCTTTGGGGGGTGATAATGAAAAAGGGTTGAGAGACTGACGTAAAGGAATAGATGATTCTAGAATCTTAGAATTGCAGTATCTTAAATATTTTAAACAGGCTTTTAGAATTTTTCAGTCTCAGAGTCTGTTAGGACAGATAATTCTAGAATCCACATTGAAAGCCATTGATTCTCAAGGCTAGAAGGAATTTCCCAGTTCAGCTAAGCCAGCTGCCTCCATTTAGAGATGAGAAAGCGGAGGCCCAGAGAAGGCCTAGACGTGTCCAGCCACATACACGAGCCAGGGATGCAACCAGCTTTCTCAAAAGCCCAGGTCATACACTCCCTCTACTCTGCATGACAACCCACTTTGGGCCAAACCCTGCATAGGGCCTGGAGACTCCAGCAGACCCAGAGGGGGCTCGTGCTCTCTCAGTGCTTCCTGAGGGCCTCGGGCACATGCCTGGACCCATGAAGCAGGATGGAGCACCTCCCCAGTTCCTGGCCCAAAGAGATGCCCGTTCCTCTCCTGTTGGCAGGACCCTCCCACCGCCTGCCTCTAGGGCCATGCCTTATGGCTGTCCTGACTGCCCCCACCTTCTAGTAATGAGAGGGCCAATTACCAATTAGCAGAATCTGGATTGCAGAGGCACCAGGCTGTGCATTGTCAGCATCTGCAGGGATGAGGCCGGTCTGCCTCCAGCCACACACAGCTGGCTCTCCACTCCCCCCAACAGCGCTTGGTAGCCCCCAGGGACCAAAGCCAACTTTTTTTTTTTTTTAGACCCTATTTATTTATTCATGAGACACACACACACACGCAGAGGCGAAGGCAGAGGGAGAAGCAGGCTCCCCGCGGAGCAGGGAGCCCGACGTAAGGGCTCGAGCCCAGGACCCTGGGATCACGATCTGCGGACTAAGGCAGACGCTTAACCGACTGAGCCCCCCAGGTGCCCCCCGACGCCAACTTTAAAACATACAAGGCGAAGAGGTCAGGAGCACTGGGCCTCATCTTAGTCACACTAGGAGCCTTTGGCTGGAGTTTATATCAACTATACAGACCTGGGAACATGTCCCCACTCTGCTGTTCACTTGCTGTGTGACCTTGGGCAAGTAACTTGACCCCTCTGTGCCTGTTTCCTTAGCCATGGGTTAGGTGAATTTGAAGTTAATTATATCCAAAGAGTTTATTACAGGGTCTGGAACATGACAAGTCCTCAGGAAACCTAAGTGATTATTTATGTCTGTTAGGCTGATTACTCAGCAAGACTCAAAAGGTCAGGACAGTATAAGCTTTTTCTTCCTTTCCTTTCTTTTTCTTTTTTCTTTCTTTTCTTTTTTCCTGAAACAGAAAAGGAAAGGGGAGCTGAGGTGAGCAACACCTTTGTTCAAAGCAAGGCACTGTTGCTGCCTGGGTGCATGACCCCAGGCAAGTGACTCAGGCTGAGACTGTTTCCTTGTACGTAAAATGCGCTTGATGGCAGAGTTGAGCTCAAAATACAGGAGCCGTGAGCACTGGGTGTTATGCACAAACAATGAATCATGGAACACTTCATCTAAAACTAATGATGTAATGTATGGGGATTAACATAAGAATAAAAAAAAATAAATACAAAAAACAAAACAAAACAAAAGAACAAACTACAGGAGCCGTAAAGATGGTGGATCCCATGACCAGGATCGTGGAGCTCACGGTGGGAATGATGGAGCTCATGATGTCAGTGATGGGGCTTATGGGGATGACAGGGCTTGTGATGGGAATGGTGGAGTCTATTGTGGGGGTGATGGGGTTCATGGCAAGGATGGTGGAGCTCATGATGAAAAAAATCCATTCGGCGATTACTTTACAATAACTGAGCAAGGCAGAAATGGGCCGCCTCGTTTTTCAGAAGAGGAAACGGGTCCGGAGGGACACCTGCCCGGACTCACGCGGCAAGGCAGGGGCGGAATGCTGACGTCCCACTGGGATGGGGGGAGCTCTGAACGGTAGAGGCTGGACTCGAAGGTGAGCACCCCCGAGACACAGGTTTCTTCTCTGCAGATGGCCAGCCCACGAACCAGACCTCGGTCGACTCAGGTGAGCCCCGGCCGCGAGCCCCGCCTCCAGCCCCGCCCCGGCCCCCGCGCCCCGCCCCCCGTCAGACCGCCCCGCACTCCCCTCCCCAGGACTCCTGGTGGCGCCGCTAGCGGCAGGGGGCGTGGCCGTGGCCGCCTTCGCGCTGAGCGCGTGGGTCTGGGGCCGCCGTCGCAGCCGGCGCGAGGACTCAGGTAACCGCGCAGGTGGCGGGGAGGGCGGCAGACGGGTTCCGCCGGCGCCCCTGCCCCGCGTGGCGGAGGCGGGAACTGCAGCCGCTTGACCCGGACGCCGAGCGCGCCCCATCTGCCCCTTCTGGAAGGAGGGCGGGTGGGGCTGCGCCCGGTGGGCGAGAGCAGAGGTAGGCTGGAGAAAGCCAGGCTGTCTCATGTGATTTTCCCCTCTTAGTCTGTGTCATCCCTCCCTCCCACCTTTGCAGGGCATCCTCTCTACGGGAACGTCCTTTACCAGCCCCGGAGGGCCCCAAAGAAGACTAAGGCGTGGCGTGTGGAGGGGCAGGTGCTGGACATCCCCAGGGAGGACCAGAAGAGTCAGAGCTTCTATTCCATCTCTTTGCCCCAGCCTCCCAGCCCCCAGCAGCGCCTGGCCCAGAAGCCTTGCCCCAGCCCCAGCCCCAGGTCGAGTCACCCCATATCTACCGTCGGCGTCTCTCCTGACCCACGCCCCTCTGGGCAGCAGTGGCCAAGAGGGCTCCTTGAAGTGGGGAGAGGACTCGAAACCCCAGAAAAGATCCCCTCCCACCAATGGCCACGTGAAGATGTGATTGATTTCCCAAAGAGTCAGGGAGTCCAACGGCCCAGCCCAAGACCCCGTCCTCATTACTAAAATGCCGGATTCCTCCCTCACCCCCAGAGCGCTCAATAAAGGCTTATAAAGGAGAGCCAGATTTTGTGAGTTGGGGGGTGTTAAAGATATCTGAGGGGTTGTCTGGGGGTTCCTGAGCCCCAGGATGGCTGGGGGACAGTCCACTGTGGTGAGGGGGCTCTGTGATGACTGGCCACCTCCCTCCTCTTATCTTTGGAGAGTCATGTCCAATTAGCAGAGAAGTGATGCCCCCGACCTCCACACAGCACCTTGAGCTGGAAGCACCCCCCCTCCCTGGGTCGTTGTGGAGATGAAGAGTGGGGGACATCGGGGCTCCCTGGAACTCATCAGCCCCCCGGGTCTCCTGCCCGACTGTCACCTTGAAGTGACACCAGCTGGGATCAGCTCCCCTCCCCCACTTCTGCTGTTTCCATGGGGACAGATGTCCTTTCAGCAGCAGCATCAGGCCTCCGCTGCCTGCCCAGGTGCAAGGGAGGGGCCGCGTGGGGGCAGGGCTGGCCTGAGAGCCTCCCCCCTCGGTTTCTCCATCTTTGTATCTGTCTGTGTCAGCTGTGTCCGGGTTTTCCTCTGACCTCATACGCTCTCTCCCTGCCTGCCCCTAGCTCTCTTACTTGTGTTCCCCACCACCCCCCCGCCGCCCCCATGAGCAATTCAGGCTTCATCCCCAGCTGGGGATGCCATTCCCCCCTAAGGGTCTAAGGGTCACTCATCCTCTCCTTTCCCTGGAGTTGGGATCCCCGCCTCCCAGAAAGGACACTTGAAACACACAATAACTTATTTATTTTCCAGGCCAGGGGAGTGCTTGAAGACACAATTCTGGTCCCTAGCACCCAAGAGAGGGCCAAGAAGGCAGCTCTGATGAAGACCAAGGGCCTGGAGGGGTGGCGAGTCTCTGGAAAGACTTGGAGCATTTGCAGCCAGTGATTCTGGGACCACCCGGTGCAGGGCAGGGGCTGAAGGTGCTGGGGTCAGGGGGTCTGCATGACCACCGGGTACAGCAGGGCCAGATGCTCAGCGCCCTGCACAGGCAGCGGCCGGGAGCTGTAATGGAGGACCAGCTTTGGCACGCTGGCGAAGGGGCCGCTGTGCTGACCCAGCACGAACTGGTTCTCTCGGGTCCGTGCGAACTTCAGGTGCAGGAAGCTCTGGCTGCTCCTGGGGGACAGGCGTCAGAGTGCCTTGAGCACCCCAGACCTGCTCATGCTCTCCGACCCTAAGGCCCCCCCCCGCCGTGGCCCCCAGAAGCTGGTGGCTGGCATTCCCAAATATTTCTGCTAAACGGCCACTTGGGTGCCAAGCTCTGGGCTTGTTCCCCATTGGCAGGGATGCCTTGCCCGCCTGTCCGCTCTAAAGGCTGGGGTCCCTTTCCTTGCTTACATCTCTGGTGAGTTGAATGACATTGAACCTGGGAATGATCTTATCATCATTAATATGAATAAAACACTTCCTGTTGCCGGGACACTAGGCTCAACAATTCCTGTGTGTGTGTGTGTGTGTGTGTGTGATTTAATCATGGCAATATTACCATGAAGCAGGTGCTGTTTGTATCTTCATTTCATAGATGAGAAAAGCAAGGCCCAGAGAGGTTGAGGAATTTAGCTAAGGTAACACAGCTATAAAGTGGCAGAGGCAGGATTCAAAGCAATTCTCCAAGCCCTCTTCAATCTTGCCCTTTCAGGAATCTCACAATCAGATGCCCAGTCGAATTTTGGAGCTTGTTATAATCAGACACATTTAGAATCTTAGGCAGAGAAGTACGTACAATCAGGATCTCAAACTCAAATGCCTACAGGGCCACTCAGAGATTCTGGCCCCGAGAGACACTTCAACTTTTGGACTGCAGGAGTTTAAAGGAAATAATCTAGTTCCCCACCTCACCCACAACCTAGATCTACTGGATGGCTTCCACTCCGCCTTCTTGCATACCTCCGGTGACAGGGGGCTCACTCTTAGTTGGAACCCTGCCTGTGGCCTCCGTGGAAGCCACACCCTCTGGCCCACTGGTCCCAGAAGTCCCCTCCATGGTTCTGAAAGCTTTGCTGGGCAGCCATGGAAGCCCCGCCCGCTCGCGCCACCTTCTGCTCCCACCGAATTAACCCGAAAGCACGAGGCAGGTAGTCCTGTGAGCCTCGGTCCCTTCAGGGGGCTGGGGCCTCACCTGAGGGATAGGGAGCAGTCTTGGGGACTGGTCTCGCTGAGCCGCACGAGGTAGCTGCCTGCCTTGCAGAGAGACAGGAGGTTCTCGGCATCTGCCCGGCTCAGTGGGCCATGAAACCACCTAGAGGGTGGGGGCAGATGTCTCATAAAGGGCAATCCCCCTGCAAACACCCCCTGGGGGCTGGTGCAGGCACAGCCCTTTCCAGGACTTGTGAGCTCCAGGCAAACAAGTGAGAACAAGTCCCCTGGGTTTCTCAAGGGGAGCCCAGTTTTCAGGCAGACACGGTTTTTCCCTGCAAGGCAGCTGAGCCCAGGTCCACGTGGAGCTGCTCCCTCCAGTTCAATAGATACAGCTGACCTTGATCTTTACAGTCTCCCTAGGTTAGGTCCCCAGGGTCCTGTTTCCCCTTTCCCTAATCCCTCAAGTTGAATCACTTGCATCTGGCTTTCTAGAGATTTGCCACAACCCGTATCCCCACCCACCTGTTCCATCCTTTACTTAATATTTGTACTGAATGGACTCCGAGAGAGGTTAGCATTTGCGAGCAAGGTCTCACACACACAGGAGCGCCAAACAGACTTCGCGGGTTTTGTATTGAAAGAAAACTGAACAGAGAAGAAACGTCTCCCCCTGTACTTCAGCGTTCATCAGTCAGTCCTGTATGGCCCACCTAATGGGTTTGGGAATAACTGTGATAAACACACCATGGTATCTTTTGGACTGGAGGGGTTTAAAGGAAATATCTAGCTCCCCACCTCATTGGGCTGGGCTCATTGGGCTTTTAGGGAGTTCCTGGAGGAACTGCTAGGCTGGAGAGACACAGAGAAGGCCCAGACCCTCCCAGCTGGTGCACCTCACTCCAGCCCAAAGTTGGAACCCCCTCAAAACCCTGCTCCTCTTAGTTCCATCCCCAGATCCCCTGGGGATGAGGATGATTTCTCTTTACCCTCAGGCTCATGAGCGTCATCCAATTAAACGGAGAACATCCCCTTTTACTCTGAGCTGGGCACCATCTTGGGGGTTTTGAGCCCTAGGTTCAGAGAGGTTAAGTGACTTGCCCAAAGCTACACAGCCAAGAGATGCAGAGCGGAGATTAGAACCCAGAATCTGATGCCAGAGGAATGAGACACCATGTGATTTTGCTTTGTACCTAGGCTAGGTGTCTGACACAGGCAGGCTCTGGCGCCCAATGAAGATAGTGGAAGAAAGGAATGAAGTGAATGGATGAGTCATACTTCCCCCAGCCCCCCAGTCCGAGGAGTGGAATCTGCAGCTGGTACGGGACGGAGAGGGATTCAACCCGGCTCCTCCAACGTCAGCTTCCCCACTCACGGCTGTTTCTCCAGGGGCAGGGCCGGGTCCACGCGCTCTGCGGGCTGGGGGCTTCTGGATGGGGGTCTCCGGAGCTCTTTGGCTGAGCCTGGGGTCCTTTCCCACTCAGGACTGTCAAACTGCACTGGAGGGGGAGGGTTAGAGAGGAAAGGGTTAAGTCCAACCCACCCGGGAGGGGCGGGGCCGGGGTAAGCCAATGCACTCTCAGTAGGAAGGCGGTGCCAGTTTGGGCAACCTATCAGAATCCAGGATAGGAGGGGCTGGGTTTAAGGGCTGGGTAGGATTGGTCCAGGAGCAACCAATCAGCCTTCAGAAGAAAGGGGTGTGGTCACTCCTAAGTGTGGTGGCTGGCGAGGGCCGGCCAGTTCCACGAGGGACGAGGGATGCCTTAGAGGGATGGGTTGGTCGTTCTGCAGATTCTGGCCAAGCCCTAGAGCTAGACCCCCCCCGCCCCAGGTACGGACAGGTAGAGTGAGGCACTGAACCCCAGTGTCCCTCCCAGTCGTACAACTTCTGGGGCCAAGCTGGGTTCGCACAACTCTTCCTGGTCCAGGTTATTTTATTCTTAAAGCTGACCGTAGTATTGTTACCCTTTTACAGAAGAGGAAACTGAGGCCACAGACTTGTCCATGCTTCCCCAACTCAGGACTTGACCCCAAGCCCACCTAATGATAGTTACTAAGAAATGCTACCCTGTCCCCCCAACAGCTCCGTGTGAGCACTTTCTGGCACCCAGTTTACATGCTCCCTGTTCTGTAGCTGCTATAAGGATCCCCATTTGATGGGTAAGGGAACTGAGACTAAAAGATAAAGCACCTTTCCCAAGTAAGTGACACAAATCCAGGTCTACCTGATGCCAAAACCTATCCCTATATTACAGTGAGCACTACAGGTGCCCTAAGGAGTTTCTCTCCTCAAGGAAGATACAAGTTCTCCTAGGAAGATAAATTTACAATTATCAGCCATTCACACTTTAGTGAGAATGAATAAACTACCAGAGTGGCAGGTGATTAGGGTCTATTTTATAAGTTGAATCAGAGGATATGACCAGAGCAGGAAACTGAAGGACATGGACATTCAGGGCCTGGGTCGGAGGGGCACCTGCAAACGCCTTGGAGATGTGGTCTTTCTTCCACTCCCAGGGCTGGTCATACTCATCCGCAGGCCGCTCATCTTCCTGAGGCAGCCGGCTCTGGCGAGGTCTCCTCCCAGAAGGGGCCCCATCTCCTGGCTCTTGGTCCTGCTCCTCATAGGGAGTGTCATACAGCTGCACCCCCTTGCATGGCAGTTCTGGGGGGCCAAGAACACTGGTCAGCTCCCACACCCACCAGGGACCCGGTCCCTTTCCCGAAAGCCCTGCTCACTCACCGCTCACAGCCCGCTGGGCATCATAGGGCTCCATGTAACCATCATCTGAAGGTGGTGGGTGAGGCTGGGCATCAAAGGGGTCTGAGTACTCCGTGTCGAGTTCCAACTGGAGAGAGAAGTAGAGAAGTAAAGGAGTGGCAAAGGCTGGGGTGGGGGGGACCAAGCCCAGCCATAGACACCCCCTCCTGGGTGATGGTGCACCTCTCTGGGTCGTGTAATTCTTCCCCTCCACGAAGCTCATTGTCCTGGGGTAGGGAGTCCTCTCTCCCACCCACCAGGGTTTGCATACAGATGCCAGCTTCCCCGCCTCTCTGCCTCCCTGACGCACAGCCCCACCTCCCTCCTTCAATAATTTTAATGTCAGGGTGCCTGGGGGCTCAGTAGGTTAAGCATCTGCTTTTGGCTCAGGTCGTGATCCCAGGGTCCTGGGATCGAGCCCCATGTTGGGCTCCCTGCTCGGTGGGGAGCCTGCTTCTGCCTCTCCCTCTGCCTCTCTCCCGCACACCGCTTGTCCGCGCGCTCTCTATTTCAAACAAATAAATAAAATCTTTAAAAAAAATAAAAAATAATTGTAATGTCTATCAGCGGCCAGCGCTGTTCTAAATACTTCACATGTTTCCTTGTGATCCCAACACCCAGTAAGTACATTAGCCCCATTCTACAGATCAGGAAACCAAGGCACAGAGAGGATAAGTGTCTTGCTAAGGGTCACCCAGCTGGTAAGAGGCAGGGTTTCATCCCAGGTGGTCGGCTTCCGGAGTCCCTGCCTCCTCCTTCCTTCCTTTGTGCTCTTAATCACTGCCCAACACAGCCTCCTCAAATCCTTCTCTGTCTCCGCGGAGGGTTTGGGGTCGACTCCCTGATCCTCTGGCAAAAATACTGGAAAAAGCATGGGCAATGGAGGCAGATCTGGGTCAAGTTCTAACAAGCTAGGGCCATTGTGACCTTTGGCCAGTTGCTCCTCTTCTGTGAGCCTTGGTTTCCACTTCTGTGAAATGGGAATCGTGACAGAGGAGGGGCACAGTGGTGGGGGTTCCAAGGCTTGCTAGGGGAGTGACTCACTCAGATCTGTTTGGGGAAGCTGAGGGGAGGGGACTAGAGGTGGGGAACAGGGAGCAGGGGACAGGGGGACAAAGCAGGGCCAGAGAGATAGTGGGACAACCAGTGCTGAGCCCTGGAAAGGGACAGAAATCAGACTCCACTAAGCAGGTGGAGGATTGGGGAGTGTCTGGCTGGTGCCCCGGCCTGCCCCATAAAACAAGGTTCCCCCACGTCCAGGGAGCCCAGCCTGGCCCTCCCCACCCAGTCTCCTGGGGCCACCCAGAGTCTGGGACTTAGCCACGCACCTCTTCCCTGGGGCTGCCCAGCAAGACCTTGGCTCTGGCCATGGCCGCTGCCTCCACCTTGATAAGCCGGTGCTTGGGAGAGTCATACTTGGCGCCTCCGAGGCCCTTGGAGTCCCCGGGGCCGGCGGGGTCGGGCTCCAGGCGGCTGTCTGAGTCCTCATAGGGGTCCTCGAAGTCCAGATTCTTCTGCTCGCGGTAGGCCCTCAGGATGTCGCTCTCCGTGTAGTCGGGGGTGGGCGGCTGCGGAGGGGGCCTCCGACCGCCAAAGCTCAGGTAGTCCCGCAGCCACTTGGCCATCTGTGCGTGTGTCGTGCCAAACCTGGCCACTGTCAGAGGGGGACCCACATGCCCCCTTCCCGGCCCCCTTTCTCCGCAGAGTCCCCAGGGAGAAGGAGGAGGGGGCAGAAGGGAAGGGAGGAGGAGAGAGAGGAGGAAGGGAGAGAAGAAAGATCAGGTGTGTCCCTTGGCTGGGCTCAGAAGGCAGTGAAAAGAGGAGTGAAGAAGGAGACGGAGGGAGGAAGAGGAGGAAGGAGAGCAAAAGTCCACCTTAGCCCGGCTCCTCAAGGACGGCGGGGGAAGGGGGCGCCCCGCAGGGCCCTGAACCCCGAGCGCCGGGTGGCCGGGCCAGGGCGAGGGGCATCCGCGGAAGCGCGCGGAGTTTCCGCGGGAAGCGCGGTCCTCGTGCGCGGCTCTGCCGCCCGCCGCCTCCGGGAAGCTCCGGGATTCCCTTCTGCGGCCGGGAGTCGGGGAAAGCGCCGCCCGCGGGAGCCCCCAACCCCGGCTCAGCCCGGACGCCTGGGTCCTCAGCGCAGCGGGCGGGCTCCCCCGGGGCGCGGGCGCCGCGCGCAAAGTTGGGCCGCGGGGACGGTGACCTCCGCGCGGCGCCTCCTTTGTTGCGCTCCTCTCCGCTCCGGGGGGAACCCGGGTCCCACAGCCCCCGGCCCGGCCGCCTCGATCCGGCCCCAGCCACCTGCACAAAGGGAAATAAAACCTCCTCCAATCCCCCTTCACGCTTTCGGAGAGACTTTCCCCGCCGCGGCGGGGAGGTGGGACTTTGGGGAGGGGGCGCGCAGGCGGACGCCCCAGCCCCTACCGGCCCCCGGCCGCGTCCCGAGCTGCGACGTCAAGGCTTCCCCGCCTCCCCCTCCGCGGCTTCCCCCGCCCCCTCCGCTCCCCCTGCAACCCCCTCGGAGCTGACTGAGACCTTCAGCTGCTCTGGGAAGGGAGGGGAGGCGCTGCCCGCCGAGGGAGGGGGGTGCGGGGCGGGAGGCGCGGGGCCGGGGCCGCGGCAGCTGGACACTGACCCGGAGGAGCGCGGCTGGCAGGAGCGAGCGAGGAGCGCGGGAGGTGGGAGCGGACAGGGCCGACCTTGCTCAGGAGAGCGAGAGGTGCAGAGGCGGGGAGCAGCGGGGAGAGGGAGGCGAGGTGGAAATTGGCTGGGAAATGGGGGTCTGGATGTGACCGCGAGAGGGGGTGAAACTGACCAGCAGATGGGGTGAGAGCGACCACTGTTGAGGGTTGAAATTGAACCAGTATCTGGCGGCGCAACTGACCAGCAGATTGTTCCAGAGGTCACTGGCTAAAATTGATGTTGATGCAGCTGAAGGAAGCGGGGAGGCAACGGGAGGGAGGGAGGTCTGGTGTCCCCTTCCCAAGAGGACTCTTCTCTGCAATCCCGCCCCCCCCCCAGGGGATTAATTGCAGCATGGGGGAAGGGGGCTGGGGCAGCTGGCCTTGGGAAGGGAGATGGTATCAGTGCCCGGCGCGTCCTCAGCATCTGTCCCTTTGTGGCTTCTGGGGGTGGAGTCAAGGAGGGGGGACAGAAATGAGAGGGGTCTCGCCTGGCCAGGCTGCCTGTTGGCGCTGCAGCTGTCTGGGGGCGAGGACACTAAGAGGTTTGGGGTAAGGGAAGCAAAGAGGTGTGCTGGCCAATTCCAGAGCAAACACGGTTTTTCTTTCATCCTAAGGGGGCTTGTTCAGCTCCCCCTAATACTGAAGTAAGAGAGGGGTGATCGGGAAGAATGGGGCTGCAGATTCCCTTCTCCCAGTGCCCCACCCCCCCGACCCCAGGGTGGGCTTGTGCCTGTGGCTTGGAGGGGAGGGAAACCCAGACGGAAGTCAGAGCTGACACTGGTGGGAAAATGCCCCTGGGGAAGAACAGTGGGTCGGGGCCATGTCTATGCTGTCTGTGCCTTGCTTTCCTGGTTTCTAACAGGGGTTCTAACAGGAAACCCCCAGAGAGCTCAAGGAAGGATCGCCAGAAGGGAGTTATTTTTTCCCATAGGGAAACTGAGGCACAGAGACGGGGAGGACTTGCTCAGAGCCACCCCACAGCTCACGTCTGCCTGCACGTCCCGACGTGGCCTGGCTGGGGTGGCACTGGAGACCCACTAGAGTGTCTTCATGGGATCAGCGTTTCTCCGCCTCTGCCCCACTGTTAGCCCCATTTTCCAGGCGACGACACTGAGGTCCAGAGCTGAGCAGGCAAAGCCCCTCACCGCAGCAGGGGCTTCCATATGTCCTCTCCCCAGCTTTGGCCGTGTCGCCCACATGAACCTGTTGAACTCGGTCCTCCTCCTGCAGTGCCTCCATGCCCCCCCACCCCACCCCCTCTGATCAGCGACAAGACAGCGTCCCTGGGGACTGCTGGGGAGCACGGCAGGTAATTGTCCTGTTTTCTGTCAGCCCCAAGGCAATTCCCGGCTCAGGGATGAGCTGTTGACAGATCTCATCAAATCTGAGCCCTCTCCCTGGCGGATAAATACGAGACGTCTGAGGTATAAATATTTCAAAGGGGCCTTCTAATTACAGGGTGTGTCAGGAATAGCAATTAGAGGCCCCGGAGGCAGAATCAAACGGCGTTTGACTTTCCTGCGCTTTTGAGCTGGCTTCTCCTGGGGCTGCCCGCCCCACCCCCCCAGCCCCCGCCCTAAGAAGAGGAGCCGTCAAAGGGTTCCGGGAGGAGAGAGGAGCGGGAGATGGTGGATAAGGAGAGTCAGGCTGGGGGGCTGGCGACCTTGCGGTGTGCCCTTGAACCTCAGGAACTCGGGTTTCTGCGTGTTGATGGGCAGCGGGGGGAGGGGGCACTGCGCGGACGAAGGCGAGCAGGTGGGGTGGTCTAGGGGTCCTAGGCTGAGGCTTCCTCCCTCCCGCCAACCCCCGTGGTTCGAGAGGCAGTGTATCAGGGCCATCTCCTGGGTGCAGCTCAGTTTCCGGAATCCTAGCTCTCCTGACCTTGGGTGGTGACCCGGGCTGTTTTCCCATCTCTGAGATGCGAGAAGAACAGCTAACCTCTACTGAGCGCTTCTGGGCGCTGTTTGGAGCATCTTTTATTGTTGGTTTTTTTTGTTTTGTTTTGTTTTGTTTTTTGAGATACAATTCACATGCCCAACAATTTACCCCGTGAAGTATGCATTTCAGTTTGAGAATGTTCACAAGATCATGCAACCATCACCACTCATTTCAGAACATTTTCATCACCCCAAGAAGAAACCCCATCCCTATGGGCACTCTCTATTCTCCCCACTTCTCCCGCACCTGGCACCTCTAATCCGCTTTCTGTCTCTCTGGGTGGGCCTGTTCTGGACCTTTCACATAAATGGAATCACACCCTATGTCGCTTTTTGTGTCTGGTTCTCTCACTGAGCATCGTGTTTCCAAGGTCCATCCACGTGTGTGTGTGTGTGTGTGTGTGTGTGTGTATGTGTGAGCGCCCCATTCCCTTTATGGCCCAATAATGTTCTATTGCATGGCAAACAGTAGGTGCTCAGTATATGCTTTAGGTGGGTGGGACCTTAAGAAGGAGCCAGTTGGGGTCCCTGGGGGGGGGGGCTGTGCCTGCCTTCTCTGTCCCTTCATCCTTGTCTCATGGAACAGCCAGTCTGGAGGAGGGATGGGAGCCAAGGCACCAGGATAAGAAGGGATGGCCCATGGTGGGGCCTAAATAATCTGATGGAGGAGATGTAGCCCTGTGCTAGGAGCTCCTACTCTGATAGGAGAGACAGTCTCTGCTCTAAGAAGCTCCTAGACACACCCTTGCCTTTTAAAACTTGCAGTTTGATGGGAGAGGCATGGTCTTGACCTCAGAAGCCTCAGTCTGATGGAGGAGATAAGTATATGCCTCAATAGCCTCCCAGTCTGATAGGGGAGGCATGATTCTACCCTCTGAAGCATTCGATCTGATGGAGGAGGCATGGCTCTGATTTCAGGGGTTTCCAGTCTGATTCGAGACATGGCCCTCCTTTTAGGTGCCCCTAGTCTAATGGAGGAGACAAGAGCCTATCCTTAGGAGTCCTGTCTGATAGGGCAGGCATGGTCCAGCCTTCAGGGACACTAGTCTGATGGAGGAGACATAGCTCTGTCGTCATGAGTGCCCAATCTGATGGGAGAGGCATGGCCCAGCCCCTGGAGGCTCTGTCGGCAAGAGTTGCAGTGGAGTGTGGTCATTAAAGGTGTAGCCTCAGAGCCTTGCAATGGCAAACCCAGGTCCTGTCCCTCACTCACTCTGAGACCTTGGCCAAGGAGCTTCCCGCCTCTGTAAAATCGGGCAATATCATGGCATGTACCCGAGGGAGTGAGTGGCAAGTTTTGGTGTAGAGGGAGCTTGGTGCAGAGCCTGGCATGCAGTTAGAGCCTGGGAAATGGGGCAGCGGCCCCTGTCTCTTTGTGAAGCCCAGGCTCAGCCCAAGTGGGCTCTAGGAGGAGGGCAGGCCACCCCCACAAGTCCCTCTGCTGTGCGGCGGCCCTCAGGGGGATTGATGGAGGAGATTCTGGGTGAGGCCTGACAGTTCCCCAGGATGACAGACATGGAGCGTGCCGGGGGTGGGGGGAGATGGGGGTTGTCAGCAGTGACTGGGGAAGGGCAGGCTCCAGAGAGTGGGGGGGGGCCCAGGGGAGGAGGGGGAGAGTAGGGGGGTGGAGGCCCTGGAGGAAGCGCGCGCGCGCGCGCGCGCGCACACACACACACACACACACACACACACACACACTCGAGACCCTGATGTGTTGCTACCCCTCTGCTCACTTGCTAGACCCTGGGAACCCCCACCAGGAACTGGGGCCAAGAGAACGGCTCCCAGGTCATAGGATGGGAGAATGAAGCATAAAAGCCTGTGGGGAGATAAGACTAAGACAGTTTCAGTGAGTTCCACTTAGTTCCCACTAAGTGCCTGGATGGTCTCAGGTGCTGGGGCTACCCTCATCACACAGCTACCCTCGTAAAGCTCACGGTTGACCGGGGTGGGGGGGGCGGGGGTCTGGCAGGTAGACCCTCGGCTGGCCTCCAGTGACCCTGACCTGCTGGGGGTCACAACCACATGTAATCCCTTTCCTTTGAATGTGGCCAGACCTGTGGCTTGCTTCCAACCAGCGGGACATGGCAAAGGTGACGGGATGCCACTTCTCGCAGACTCCCGTTGTGCTGGCTTTAGGAAGCCACCTTCAGAGGGCCACGTAGGCCAGCAGCTGAGGGCGGCCTCTGGCTCAGAGCCCGTGGGGAACTGCCAACAGACAAGTGAGTGAGCTTGGAAGTGGATCCGGCCCCAGACGGGCCTTCAGATGAGACCACAGCCCTGGCCCACGTCTCAAGGGAAGCTGCAAGACCCTGAGGCAGAGAACCCGGCAAAGCCGCACCCAGACTCCTGTGTTTGCCGCTGGGAACTTCTGAGAGATCTCATTATGCAGGGGTAGCTAATACTGGGGGTGGTGGGCAAGACACACACCTCGTGATGGCGCCCCTCCCAACCACCTCACCCTGTTTTCTTTTTTTTTCCCGTGTACTCCCCCATTCAATCTTGACTGCCATAATGAGACAGACAGAAAGCGCGAGGACACTTTTTTCTTGCATCTCTAGTGGAAACCTTAGCAGCAGACAGGAACTGCTCCAGGTCTGTCAAACGGATGCATACCTCACCCTGTTTTCATCCAGAGCAATCACGGCCTCCAGTGTGTTTGCTTCACTTCATAGCTTATTATTATTTTTAGATACATTCAGGATCTTCTCCCCCATCTTCCGAACGCAACGTCACCATTATGAGGGGGAACCGTTTTTTGTTTTTTTTTTCTTTAGGGTATTATCGTCGTAAGTTTTCCTTCAGTGTTGTAGCCCCAGTGCCTAAAACAGCTCTGGGCACAAAGTAGCGTGCTCAATAAAATAAAATAATGCATAATAAATAGGTATTATATAAATTATGTGTAATTCATACATATTATATATAAACTATATCATTATATACATTATAAATTTTACAATATGTATTACACATAAATTTTATACATATTTTATTTTAATATATATTTTGTATATAAATCATATCCTTTTTTTTTTTTTTAGTAAGCAACTTGCTTTGGGAAACTCAAACGAGTGAATCTGCACAAGCTCAGCACAGGTCAGGCAAGCGGCAAGGACTTCTCGAACGTCAGCTGTTTCCCTCCCTGAGCGGATCCCGTGTGCCTCATCCCGTGCCACGCTGAGGAGAGCGCAGCTTGGGGTGAGCGGGTGTCGGCACCTTCCCTGGGGGCCGTGGGGAGCAGGAGGGGCAGAGCTGGGCGACCCAGGCGGGGGCGGGCAACCTTTCTCTATCAGGGACCCGACGGTGAGCCCGTTGGCTCCGTCACTGCAGAGCGCAGCGGCCACGCGTTACACTCAAACGGGCACGTCGCCGTGCCAACAAAACTTGGTTCACAAACTAGGCTGTGGGCCGGCTTTGGTCCACCAACCGTAGCTTGCTCATCTGTGTTTTGGAACGGAGTTCATAATCTTTAGTAAAGAAGAGTTAACAGATGGCACGCACACACGGCGACAAGCGACAAGAGCTCAGGGAACGGTCTGCAAGAAGGGATCAGAGTGAACGGGGACCCCACGCCTCATCTCTTCCACAAGCGCTTCTTCGGCTGGATGCTTTCCTCTGGCCGCCGGTCTGAACAGACTCCTTGCAGGCACCGTGTGCGACCCTGACTCTGACCTTGGGGAAAAGAGGCCACGGTGTGCTGGCCCCCCCGCACGCGGCACCGATTTGCAGCCCCTCCACCGTCAGCGTTTCAGAACCAGGGCCCCGGGGCCTGTCTTCAAGGCCGGGAGCTGCGAGGTGAGGACCCGGGGGCCTGGCTGGATCCCAGTCCGCTTCTTCCAGTCCTACTTAAGCACAGAAATCATTGCAGGAAAGTGGATCCCCAAAGTGGGGGCTTCTCATCTCCCAAACTCTGATAGCAAGAAGCACAAAGCCTCATTACCAAATGCCAAACAAATGTGAGCGTGCTTGAGAGAGAGAGAGAGGAGGGCTGAGGCTGGCGACCCCGGGAGGGGGGGAGCAGAGCTCGGGGGGCATGTGCTGAAGGAGTCTGGCGGGAGCATAAAACCTTCAACTAGAAAACTGTGAAGTGGGAGAAAATTATACCGGAGTTGAAGTCTGGCAACCTTGAAAGAACGTGAGCCTCAGAATCGATTTCCTGGTCACGGGACCAACGACATACTGGGGATCTATTGCTACATAACAAATTCTCCCCAAACACCCACTAAATCAATGAGCCTTTACCACCTCACAGCTTGCGAGAACCAGAGGCCAGATTGGCCACATTGTGTGGTTCTGTGGCCGCCCCCAGAAGCTGGCAGAACAGGGGCCCAGGCCAGACAGTGGTTCCTTTCATTGGCTCGCGGGTTTTGTGGCCGGAGGGGGCAGCGCTAATAAGGGGTGGGTGTGTTCTCCTGCGTGCCTCCCCCCAAACACGGCCGAGCCCTTGCGGCTGTCAAAGGGACCACCACGAGGCCTGCCGGGAGCTGAGCACTGTTCCAGGGAGGCCACAGCCCCGAATGGAGGGCCAGGAGGGCGGCACTGTGAGCTGGGGACCCCGAGGTCCCCGAGGGCCAGCAGGTGGGGGGACAGGAGAAACTGAGTCGGCCAAAGCCCTCGCTGGCCCTGCCGCTTCAGAGGACGTCGGGGTTTGTCCAGTCATGCGTGGCTCTGGTTGGTGCCAAGGCATCCTGCCCCACCGTCAGCTGAAGCTGGACACGGGACCTTGACCTGGGGAAGGGCCTGGGGTCTCAGTTGCTGCCGCTGCTGTCCTCGCTGTCCGAATAGGCCCCCAGCTGGCTCAGGGAGGAGGCGCCGGGCGCCCAGGGTGCAGGGTCAGCTGGCTTCCCGCTCTGCATGGGGCCTGGTGAGAGGCGAGAGCTAGCCTACGCGGCTTCAACCCCACAGCCCTGGTTCGGGGCACACCACCCCCTCTCCCCACCACTCAGAGGATTCCCCCAAGCTGCAAGGCCACACTGGGGGCGCTGCTGCCACCTGGCGGCCGCCCAAGGCGCTGCACCCCGGTCCCAGGACCCCGGGACACCTACCCTGGGTGGTGGGTGACGGTGCCAGGCCCTCCTGGGCGCTGCAACCCAGGTCTGTTCTCTTCACCACGACTAGGCCTGACAGCTGGGGCCTGCTGCCAAGGGTGCCAACACTCCGTTCCCAGCTCTCCGCCTTCCTCTTGGCTTTTGGGGCCTGAGAGTGAGGGGGGACATGAGTGGGTGACTGGCCCAAATGCCACCTTCTCCAGCCTCCCTGCACTTAACACGTCCTAAAATCACACCACGCCTTCTCCCCTCCGTGCATTTACCGACGCCATTCCCAACACCTGCAATGCCCCCTTTCCTGTAAGGCATTTGGTGAACTCCTACTCACCCTTCAATACCCAGCCCAAGTATCAGCTCCTCTGGGAAACCTTTCTTTACAGTTCAGGCTCAAGTGATCAAGTGAGTGCTGCATGTCCACGCTCCCCGTGCCCTCCACTACCTTAGTACGTACCCCCCCATCTTTGCTGGGGGTTCCTGTCGTGTTCATGACTGGGTCCCCAGGGCCACAAACAACTCCTGGCATGAAGATGCTCTATCAATGTTTGATGGAATGAGGAAAAATGGAGGCCCCCACTTTGGGGACTTGTGAAGGGAAGGCAGAGAGGGGCTCAGCCCCACCTCCAGCCCTTCAACTGTACAGGAAAGGACCCCTTTTATCTGTTTTCTGTTGAAATAGAGGAACGAGGGGTGCCTGGGTGGCTCAGTCGTTAAGCGTCTGCCTTCGGCTC